GTTTAGGGTTTAGGGTTGGGCCGTTAGGATTGTCTGAGTTGACCGACCGGTTCATCCCTAATATCGTCCAGACTTGTCGCCACGGCAAATCTGCGCTGCAGTTGAAGTTGAACCATGCGAGAATGGCTGTCCTTGTAGTACTTGACTTTGTGCCCGCACGGAAAATGTGTGACCTCGGTGCGTCATGGATACCTGGAGAGCATGGGGCGTCTTGAATTCTCAGGGACTTCTACGCATATCTGGCGGTTGGGACAAGTGGAAGTGGAGGGTAACAGTGCAGGGCAGCAATAAGTGAGGGCGGCAGCAGAACTCAATGTTCTGCAATCCCTGCAAGAACTAATCCTGATTCACGAGTGGTCACTACCCAGAGATGAACATGTACCAACAGCGACAATCCTGATCTAACCCTCTTGATGTGAGGAGACGGCGCAAACCACCGAGGGGCCATGATTTGCCACTGCGCATCAGACTTCTTCAGCTTCTCTGTCGCCTGGATACAGGGGTTGGCAGCATGAATGATGGGAGTCTTTGGGAAAAGTCCACGTGCTTGGATGAAAGCTCTTGCATGGCCTGGTTGGCTTGCTGTTGGGGGGGGTGTGCACTCTGCTACGCCGGAAAGTGTCCAACGTCTCCAACTGACGTGGGTGTTTTTCTGCCAAAGTGAAACAAATTGTGACATCTACGAGAACCCTAGATTAGCGGAATAAAGCTGCAGGCTGGGCTGCCAGCTGAATTCCAAAGATTGCACAAGTCAAACACCATGTTTCTTGGGGACACATGCTCTTGTCCAATGCAGGCCTCCAGCTTCTTCTAGACACATCCACCATGAGACTAGCAACCCTACAGGCTCGCATCCAGGACTAGAAAGTTGCATCTTGAAGGGTAGTTACGCAACTGCGCGCACAAACCAAACTCATCTGCTCCAGCCAAAGAAACGTGGCGCCCCCTGTGGCTGTGTTTAGAAGCACTGCAGCCGTAACGGTAGACGCTGCTGCGACACTTTCATCGCCGTAAAATACTCAAAAATGAAAACCACCTCTGCCATCAAACTCCTATGCCCTAGGCGTGTAATCCGCAAATCATGAAATTTGGGCTGCCCTCTGTGCCCCCCCTAAAAAACAGCAGCCGCATGCGCCCCAAAATACCCGAATATATACCCTAGTATGATGTAGTA